GGTGCCTCATCCATGGAAGTTCAAGGCCAGGTTGGATGGGGCTCTGGGTAGCTGAGCTGGGGGGTGGCAGCCCTGCCCACAGCACGGGGTGGGACTGGGTGGGCTTTGAGGTCCCTTCCAACCCAACCATCCTGTGAGTCTATGATTCCCCGTACTTGAGGAGACAAAAACAGTGATGTATCTTCATCCAAGACAATATCTAGGGGGAGGTAAAGACTGGATTGATCAAGCCAGCATTCAGGAACTTCTCCATCAAGACACTTTGTTCCTGCTTTTGTGGCTCCACGATGATGACAGACAGCTGCCATCAGCCGTACGTGTGAGACGCTAGCCTGGGGGAAGGCAGTTGTGCAACTTCAGGGGCCACTGCTGGTGTTCTAGATGATGATGTCCAGCCCTGACTGGTTCTTGGCTATGCAGCTGTACTGGACAGGCAAGGGAAGGGTCCAGTCCACATTGGCCCAGGAGGCTTCACAGGTGACTCTGTGGTCCCTAAGTGACCCAGCATAACAAGTTCCTCCTGCTTTCCAGGAAAGTTGAGTGATGTGCAGCCGCTGGGGACACCTGGCACTTGTGTGGTGTCCCCAGGGCAGCCAGCACTTTGTCCCCAAGCAATGCAGGGCACTGAACACCCAGGCCAAGGTCAGCATGGGGCCACTGGGGTTTTCCCATCTTCTGCCCGGCCATGGGAGGGGACAGGACAGGCTCTATGAATGGGAGAACAATGAGATGTGGTGAATGGGTTTCTCCTGCAGCAAATGCCAGTGTGGTGCAGCTGTTGTGGAGCAGATGTTGGTTAGATGTGCAGTTCTCTGCTTCTCTGCTTACTACAAAGCTGTTGAAGTCTACTGTAGTCATTGGCTTCCACAAGGTTTCCACCTACAGGAAGCACCAGTTGATAAAAAAGTTCACAAAGTGCCTGAGGAAAAGAATACTTGTCAAAGAGTACTTCAGAGAACGAAAATGATTCACTCTAAGGTTAAAAATTGACCAGATAGTTTTAGTGGGCAAGTTTCTAGTCTAAAGGAATATTGATCCTTAGTAGATGTTTAGCAATGGCATGACTGGGGTGGACTGACCATCTGTCCCCAGCATGTCTCTATTTAGGATGAGAGGTAATGGCCTTAAGTTATGCTGAAGGAGATTCAGATGGTTATGAGGGAAAATTTCTTCTCAGGATGAGTGGTGCAGCAGTGGCACAGGCTGCCCATGGAGGTGGTGCAGTCACCATCCCTGGAGGTGTTCCAGAACCGTGTGGATGTGGCACTGAGGGACGTGGTCAGTGGGCACAGTGAGGATGGGCCGATGGTTGGACTAGGTGATCTTAGCGGTCTTTTCCAACCTTAATGACTGCATCCCTCAGCATCCTCTCCTTTCCACTCAGGGGACCATGAGAGGCACCAGGAGAGATGGACAGGTCCCGGAGCTCCCTGTGTGACCATGATGGAGTCATGTCCTCTCCTTGGACCTGAACACCTCTGTGCCAGCGCTGGTGATGACAGCACTGCAACTTGGTGCTCATGTCCAGGTGGGAACTGCCATGCTGGGAGGGCTGCAGCAGCACTGCCCATCACCCATTACCTACTGCCTCCTGTGGGTGTTGGCTTTTTCTGCTGAGAGCCACAGCTGCAACTTGCCTGTAAGCGCTCGCTAGCTGATTCACTCCAAGGAAAACTTTGCCCTCGGTGGAAACACCCTGTGGAGCAAGAGGGACACACTCCCTCATGGGGATCTGCACCAGCAGCACGGCTCCTGTGCCAGCTCAACAAAATCAAGTGGGGAAAAAAAAAAAACTGACAGTGTCCACAAGGGCTTTTTCAGTGTTTTATGAGGAAGGTGAGGGTCCCCCAGGCCCTCCTACAGGCAAAATGCAGACATGAATTTCTTTGTGGAGGTCTCACTGCCTTCACTCTCCACGGTGATGGGAAAATCTCACGCGTCCCTCCCAGCACGCGCTTGCCAGGCTGAAGTCGCTCTTACTGTTGGCTGCGGCCACATGGATTGGCTGTTGCACAAACTGGCTGTCTCCAAGTGGTACAGATAGGAAGCAGCATTCACATTGGCAGGGGCTTTGCAGTGTTTTTCCATGTCCTGGTTCTGGCCTAGTGCAAGAGCCAGGGCACAGCAAGGTACCTGCGCAAAGTGGTGTTTGCCCCCAGCTGTGCCATGGCACCGAAGGCTCTGGGGCAGCAGCAAGTGCTCACCAGCCAGAGCAAACTTGGGTTGCTCTCCGTGGGCCTGTATTTACAACACAGGCAGTGCACAGCTGTCTTACTGGCTTTCCATGCTTGCATAAGGCAGTTGTGCCATGACTGCTGCTGTCACAGGCTGAAAAGTGCAGGGGTAAGCATGGCATTCCCTACCCAAGCTGCCTTCTCCTTAGAGTTGACTGCCTGGTGACTCAAGTAGCAAGTTTTCCTCCTTAGCAGCAGAGCTTCCTGCAACAAACATCTGAATGACATCCCCACACCCTTGCCTTGCTGAAACCACCCCCTGGCTCCAGCAGATGAGCCCCACCTCGCTGCCACATATTGCACCCCATTTGGGAACTGACCTGCTCAGCACCCTGGCTTGGTATGACGCTCACAGCCAACACTCACACATCCTGCTCACTGAGACAGGGCAAGGGCAAACGCCAGGAACAAGGTGATACCAAGCCCATCATCCTAATCCCTGCTCAGCTATCAGCTCTGAACTAACTGCAAGCACTGCCCTTCTGCACACCTGTGCCCAAAAAGGGCCTGTGTCAGAGCCAGGCAAAAAAAAAGAAGAAAGGAGCAGGCAGGTACAGCTGCCCTTTTCCATTTCCAGCAACATGGTGAAGGGCAAGAGTTGGTGCACACTTCAGATAAATGATTACAAGGGGTTCAAGACACAAAGGGGAAAAAAACAGCGTTGTTGCTTAGCACAGCGTGACAGTCACATGGAGCGCAGGGTGCCTGGCTCCCGGGCTTGCAAACCCAAGGGCAAAGCAGCACTAGCTTCTCCAGGAAGAAATTCAGACCCAAGGGTTGCAGGCTGCCAGGAGCTGCTCCTGCTGGCAGCCTGCTACAGGAAGCCAGCTATTTTGGCAACTGGTTTGCCTGAAGGGCCTGAGGGCAGTGCAGCCAAAGGCGCTGCTCCCTGCTTTCCCCCTCCCCAGGGCACTGAACCTCACTGTGGGGCAGCCACTGCCATTCCTGGGGAGCTGCCCTTGGCACAAACCCAGGCAGCACCAGGTGTGCCCAGCACAGCAGCACCTCCATTAGCACATCCCACCGGACAGCAACACATGACGAGCAGTTATTATATCATGCTTTTAATACAAACTTAAAAAAATCTGGAACAATAGAAACTGTACAGATTTGATCAACCTTTTTTTTTTGTTGTTTGTTTGTTTTTTAACTAAATCTCTAGACACGCCAATGTCCCGTTCCAAAATATTGCACAACATTCTGAATACAAAACTCTGATTGTATTCCTCCTTCGCTACAGAAAAAGAAAAAAAAAAAAAAAAAAAAATGGAAAAAGAAAAAAAAAAAAAAAAA